CGGCGCCCGCCCCCTCCCCCTTCCCCGCGGCGCCCCGCGGACCCCCGCGGCCGGCGGGCATCCGCTGGGGGGCGCTACCGCTTTCTGGGCAGGGCTCGGCTCGCCGCTCGGCTCGCTCTTTGGGCCGTAAGCTCACTCGCCAGAACGCCCACAGTTAACTCTCGTCCTGCGGACGACACGGTTCTTGGTCGGCACAGCTTGCTCGCGCGCGCGGGTAGTCAGGTGTTCGGGTCGTTTGGGCGACGCGCGGCGGACCGCCCTTTTATTTTCCTTCATCCGGGGAAGTTTTGCCCATAATCGTCGGCTGCAAAAGGAGGCGGGGGCGTGTCGAGCGGTATAGTGCACATTCATTCGGGTCATTAGGCGAGCATACCGCCCGCCGCATCCAGAGAACAGGTAACTGCATCCCGGCCCTCCCTCACCTTCTGTGACTGGTCTGCCATTCCCCAATCTGGAGAATCACCGGCAATTCATTAATAAATTTGGCCACCACCATGGCATACCTCGGTAGGAGCCCCAGCTGCAAAGCTGCCTCAGTCTTAAGCCAGCTCTCAAAGGATACACTTCTCTCCTAGTTTGTGGTGGAACCTGTTCTCAGTGGCAATGGCTAGGTGGGTGGTGATGCAGTGCAGGGAAATAAGCATCGAGAAAAGCCTGTCGTTTTGAGGGGACTGCTGTCAATTCAACTGTCAGCGTTTTCTTATCAATATTTTTTTTTATGTTTTGTCAGTCTCTTTTATCCTTGTCAGGTCATTTTCTGTATGTATGTACGAGTGAAAACCAATGATAACTCTTATCTTTAGGACCAAAGCAAGGCCCTTTCTCACAAGTGGTTTGTGTGTCCAAATGATACTGATTACAAATTTATTGCAATTTTTTATCTGTTGTTTTGTTAAAAAATATACATTATACAAAACATACATTATTAAGGACTGAAAATTTTCCGTGCAGTCTTCTTCAAACAGTTTGATATTGTAGTAGTTTTGTTAAAATTAATCTCACTTTTCTTTTTTTCAGGCGCAAAATGGCAGCACCTGTGAAGAAAGTACCCATTCATCTACAGAGCTCTCAAAACCGACTGATCATCAAGAATGGCAAGATTGTCAACGCAACTGGTATGCAGGATGGTGATATTTTCGTGGAAGATGGAATCATCAAACAAATCGGTACCAACCTTATTGTTCCCGGTGGCACTCGAATGATTGATGCCAGAGGCAGGTACATCATTCCTGGAGGTATTGATCCCCATGTTCATTTTGCATTTGAATTCATGGGTCAAACTTCTGCAGATGATTTTTATCAGGGTACTAAAGCGGCTATCGCTGGGGGAACTACCATGATCATTGATTTTGCTATTCCCAAGAAAAAGGAATCCCTATTAGATCAATATGATAAGTATCGTTTAATGGCAGATGATAAAGTGTGTTGTGACTATGCTCTTCATTGTGGCATTACTTGGTGGTCAGACAAAGTAAAGCAGGAGATGGAAACACTTTGCAAGGAGAGAGGAGTCAATTCTTTCAAAGCATTCATGGCATACAAAGATGACTTGATGATTCGTGATGATGAGCTATATAAAATGATGGAAACATGTAGGCAGCTTGGTGCTGTTGCAATGGTTCATGCTGAAAATGGCGATATTATTCAGGAGAATGCTAAAAAACTTCTAGCCAAAGGCGTGAACGGACCAGATGGGCATGAAAAATCTCGCCCTGAGGAGGTTGAAGCAGAGGCCACAAACCGTGCATGTGTGATTTCTAAGCAGGTGAATTGTCCTTTGTATGTTGTGCATGTTATGAGCAAAGAGGCAGGAGATGTCATTTCTAAGTACCGTGAGCAGGGCTGGCCAGTTTATGGAGAAGCTCTAGCCGCAGGCCTTGGTACAGATGGCCGCCCTTGCTGTAGCTCCAACTACGGCCTAGCTGCAGCTCATATTATGAGCCCTCCATTGCGTTCTGATCCTACAACAAAGGAGCGCCTGATGGACCTTTTGTCTGCAGATGGTTTGCAGACAACTGGAAGTGATAACTGTACCTTTTCGTCACAGCAGAAGTCTGTTGGGAAAAATGACTTCAGCAAAATTCCAAATGGTGTAAATGGCGTTGAGGATCGAATGTCAGTGGTATGGGAAAAGGGTGTTCACACTGGAAAGATAACACCCACTCGTTTTGTTGAAATAACAAGCACCAATGCTGCCAAAATTTTCAATTTGTTCCCTTCCAAAGGAGCCATTGCTATTGGCTCTGATGCTGACATTGTTGTTTGGAACCCAAACAGAACTCGCACAATCTCAGCAAAGACTCATCACCAGGCTTGTGATTACAACATCTTTGAAGGAATGGAATGTCATGGTGTACCTGAGTATGTGATTGTGAGTGGAAGGGTTTGTGTTGATGATTGTGAGCTAAAAGTTGTGCAAGGACATGGAAGGTTCAATCCAACCCCATTGTATCCTCCTACTGTTTATGATCCTATTGCATCAGAGGAAGAAAAGGCAAGTTATGCTGCCTTGCCAGATATTGTTACAGAAACTTGTGAACAGATTTCTAAGACCCATGTCAATGGTGATTACGGTGATTACGATGACTCTGCTCCATTCAATCCCAACTCTGCCATCATATTTTCCGATCAGGTTTCAACCCCCACTGGAAAAGGAATGCGCCATGAAGGTGTTCGTAATCAACAAGGTTCCAGCTTTTCTATTAGTAAGGAAATGGGTGAAACAGCTCAGCGTTCTACGATTCGTGTGCACAATCCTCCAGGTGGAAGGTCATCAGGCGGATTTTGGTAGAGTCGTTGGCATAAGTGAGTCTGACCCTGCTTTAAAAGTTGTCTAGTCCTTCTTTTAATATTTTAATTTGCGTACAAATTATATAGTCCTAGGAGGACTTTGTTAAGTGAGCAATCAGCTATATTCTTTTGTCTTCCTTATTTTTTGAGGCACAGTATTAATATTGATAATAATTGCTGAAATTAATGTTAATATGCAATGGAGTGCATAGTTTACCTGTTATGTTTTGAGCCAATATTGTTTTGCTTTGTAAATTGATTCAAATTGTTTTGCTGTTTAACACATTGGCTGTGGTTGAATTTTAAGCCCTATGAAATGGCTGTCAAATTGGTGGTGTCGCCCCACATAGTAGTTATGCTGCAGCCAATGCGCTAAACCACTAGTATCTTTTATGTGTCTGTACATTTATGTTTAGTTTTCTATTATTATTATTTTCTAGACAACTTCAACTGCAGTGATGTTGATTTTGAGAAACATGTTAATAAATGAGTTTGCCGGAAGGTTAAATCAGAAAATATGGAATGCCTGGCTAAGAATTACGTCTAGATGCTTTAAAACCTTCAAGGAACTGACGATGCTTTCCTTGCTTGCAATAATGCATCAATTATTACTCTATTCTTCAGTATTTTTAAGGTTGTGTAAGGCTTTACTCATTGAGTGTTTTGTGATCTATTTTGGCATGCCTGTGTAAAAGCAAGCAATCAGTAAATATGCCAAATTGATGATTTTAGTGATCCCTTCTCCAGTGTTTCATATCTTTTGATACTCTTTTAACTTAACAGTTAAGTGTGAGCTAAATGTTAAAATCCCTGATTGCTGGTCACATTCTTTGGTTTTCCTGTGTTTCTTGTTACTGTAGCGTGTTTGTAATTTACTTGCAAATGTTATTAATGCATGTTCCATTTTCAATATGAGTTGACCATATTTTGATTAGTTCTGAGATGTTTTTCTTCCAATCATTAGTGATTTTGTAGCTTATTTTTAAGTACATGTTTAGAAGCTTGATTTGAGACTTCCCCTCAAATATGTACTGCAAGCTTTAATTCATAAACACTTCCACTCGGATATGAATCTATAAGACAAGCCACTGACATGTGCCATGTAGTATGATTTCAATCCAGCTTTTGTTTTGTTTATTCCTGATTGTGGAGTTTGAAAGACATATTTCTTGGAATATGAAGAGGATTAAAAAGTTGGTGCTTATGCTACATGCGGACCAGTTTTAGCCCAATTTCATCCATCACTATCTATTGAATAGTGTTAATGAGCTTATGAGTGATGATATTGTATACTGTAAGATTGCAGAATTTGTGTACCAATGAAATTGATGTAGAACATGTATGTCTTTGAAGAAATAACATTGGTACATATTTTCTGAAACTTAAGAATATACCTATTATACAATTGCATAATATTGGTAATCACATGTATAAATCTTTATAACTTTTTCAAATAGCTTTTTATATGAACTGTTACAATGAGTGAGCAAGTACAGCATTTTATCAATAAATAAATGAGCGCAGCTGCTCTCCACTGGTATGGAAGTGCATATTTATAGAGTATTTATTGTATCTTCACTCAGTGATGTATTTATAAATATCATATATAAAATGCTTCAGAGAATAAAAAGCTGAAATTTTATGTGTGTGTGGTGTATTAATGTGTACATCTGATCAAAAGGTAAACTATAGAAAAAAAAATGTTCAGATTAAAAGTACACAGTAATCTAAAAAAAATAAAAAAAAATAAATTGTTTTTTGCAAGTGAGTACCTACTGACAATCTACAATTGGGGTTTTTGTTTATTACAAACACCACTGCAAATCTAAAAGCAAACTTTACTTCAATACAGCTGTTGTTTTCAAAATGCTTTAGAGAGATGTTATATGCACTAAGAAATATCTTCCACTTCCAGCCACAGTCTTTAGCAGACAATAACATTTTTGAAGATCGTGAGCATCCTAGTCTATAGCATGTCATCTAGGGCACATTTTATTATGACTGTTTTTAGAGGTGTGCGAACAGTTCGAATTCGAATCGAATCGAATCGAATCTGGGTAGATTCGATTCGATTCGATTCAAGTTATTTTAAAGAAGATTCGATTCGATTCGATTCGACTTTGAAAAACCTCAGTTCGCACACCTCTAACTGTTTTCAATAGTACTGAGACACTGCCAAAATTCTCTGTAATTTTTGTTGACAACGCATGAGCACATGACTGATCATTAAGCTGTATAACGACTGACATACTCTCTGGGATGCTTGTGCTCGTAGGCTATACCTGAACTTCCTATCCAAGATTTTCCTCTAACTGAATTGTACTGCTATCACTATAGAAGTAAACAAAATCAGATTTGATTATTGTTACGATGTAAAAGTTATACCTTAGCACAATTTGTTGCCAAAGACATGTAGGTGGTGACAATACAAAATAAATTTTTGGAAGTTCTATTTAGTGAGCTGACTGTGGACTGTCAATGTGTAGTGATTTGTTTGTATTATGCTTCATTATGTCTTTGCAAACCAACCATTTTGGGAAACCCTCGCCTTTTGTGGTCATCAAATAAATAAAATAAAATGCAAATGGTAGAATTCATTTTTGAAAAAAATCTATCTTGAAAGCAGATGATACAAATTTAAGAATAGGTCTTCTAATTTTCTCTCCGATTTAGCTGTTTATGGTTTGCGCTAGGTCTCTTCTCCTTTAGTTTGCTTCCACTCTTGTACCCTATCGAGAGTTAAAGCTACTGACACCTTGATATTATTATTTATGTATAATTTTTAAGTTAAGTATAATGTGTTTCAAGGTATCATCTGCTAAAAATAATCCATAATCACTAATTTCATTTAAAAATCTAAGGTTCCAAGGTGGCTTGGTATCAGATCAAACGCGCAAAAGGAAAAGTGAAAATCCAAAACAACGGTGTTGAGTCAGAGAACGCCTCCGCGATAGGCAACACATATCACATCAATGCCCAAAGGTGGCCTACTTCCCAGGAGCCTCACTAGCGGTTGGAGGGGGATGGCAAAGGGGCAGCACCAGGCACCACTTTCCGATTGCACCCTATCCCCTGCCCCCTCCCTCTCCACCTCCTGCGTCGAAGGCCGTTGCCTCCATAGGTATCCACGCGAACGATTAGTCACGAAAACGAAACTTCAGAACAGCTGAACAATGAGGAAATCTAACCCAATCATCTGAACGCCAACTGACTTTCATTCTTGACTTAGCGAGTAAAACACATCCTTCCAAATTGTTTGGCCAAAAAACTAAAGATAGCAGCACCTGCTCAAGGTTTGCTGTGGCGCACATGCCGTCCTTTCAAATGGACTGACTGCAATGTGACCCAAGAAGATACCTATTTTGTATCACTTGAAACTTGAAGAAACCAGATACGTCGTCTGTCTGAAGACAACTCACATTACTTGTGGGAAATGGAAGGTAAGTTTTAGTTGTCAATTGACCTCTTAACTACTGTACGTACCGATGCTCGATCCCTGACGTTTTCAAAGCACGGTCTCGTTGGTGTCACCGGTCACTGCTTCATAGGTTAGGCGGCCGGACCGGCTTCTAAATGTTTAATGTTGTTTCGAACTGGTTGGGAATATTGACCGTAATGTTCGACGCATGCCACAACGGCATGAGCGATCTCAGCTGTTAAGACTGTACGGTCTGATAACAAACTCGTAAACTTGTGGATCACAACATCAACACAACACAACACAAAAGTCGAGGCGCCTGAACTCGAACCAGCGACTGATGGCACTTTTTTTTACGCTCGATCGCCTTCCGGATTTTTCCCGCGTCGAACTGTCCCATTCCTCTCATGGCATCTGTGTCTCGCTGTATACCCGGCCTTTAACGTCTTTAACCTGACTCCTCAGAAACAACTGGCGCGACCGGCGCGACACGCCCCGTCGTGGACATGGCGAGCATCGTGGATCACGACAACGGCACCTCCCTGAAGGTCCTCACGGTCCCCGCCTCCACCCTCTTGGAGGACATCAACACGGCGTATTTAGACGCGTTCAACCGCGCGACACGCGTCGCCGTGGACGTGGAGAGCATCGCGAAGAGCATCGTGAGCGTCAAGGAGGACGGCACCCCCGTTACTGCCCCCACCCTCAAGGAAGAGGTCAAGAAAGCAGAAGCAGACGCGGCGGTCCAGACTCGCGTGACTTCGCGCGCCGTGGACATGGCGAGCATCGTGGAGGACGGCGACGACGCCTCCCTCACAGTCCCCGCCACCCTCTTGGAGGATATAAACGAGGCGTACTTGAGGGCGTTCAACCGCGCGAAACGCCCCGCGGACGAGGAGAGCGTCGTGGAGGACCACGACATCCCCGCTGCTGTCCCCGCCCTCGAGAAAGATGATGGCGAGAAAGAAGGCGCTGTGCTCCAAACCAGCGCGACAAGCGCCATTGAGGATGAGGACGACGACATCCCCGCTACTGTCCCCGCCCTCGAGGAAGACGATGGCGAGAAAGAAGGCGCTGTGCTCCAGACCAGCGCGACAAGTGCAGTAGAGAATGAGGACGACGACGACGATGAAGAAGAAGACTTTGACGACGTCGAAGATTTCGACGACGACGAAGACTACGAAGACTACGACGATGACGAAGACTATGAAGACTTGGAAGACTACGAAGACGACGACTATGACGACGTCCCGACCCTGGGCGAGAAAGTAGACGCGGCGCTCAAGAACCTGGAGTGCCCCTTCACGTGGGATACTCCCCCGATGCAGTCGCACCAGATCGAAGACATCCTGGTCAAGAACAAGGGCCGCATGCCCATGATCTGGAACGAGGTCATCATCATGGCCAAGCTGGCCTACACGTTCTGTCAGAAGAATCAACCCCTGCGCGGCTTCCACTGCCTCGTCGAGGCCTACATGCGCCTCCTGCCCGCGTTCGACGAGGGCGACGAGCTGGTGCGCGACTACTACGAGGCCCTCAAGCACCTCGTCGACGCCACCTGGGCGCACATGTGCCGCCTGTCCTCGCTCACCTCGGAGTACCCCGACGAGTCCCTTCGCGACCTGGCAGCGCTCGTCGACGGGCTCACGCCGGGGAAGTCCCTGCGCCCCAGCCAGCGGTCTGCACTCCTCATCGTCCGCGCCAAGTGCGCGCATTACCCAGGTAGGCGATTAGCATTCCGTTCACGAGATTATTTTCTAACCCTTGCTGGCGACCGGGCGAGGAGACCCGCGCACTTCGTCGCGAGTTGGATTCGATATCTTACTTCCTATAAATTCAAGCGTACATAGACTTTTCTGTGTTTTTTCCCTGTTTTTTAATGGGGGTTTTTCTGATTGAAGTACCAAGTACCCTTTGGTTGAAGTCCCCCATTCTTCGTTGCAGACAGCGTCCCCCTGGCGCGGGAGGCCATCGAGATGTGGCCGGACGAGGGCCACTGGCACACCGTGCTGGCCAAGCTGCTGTGCTCGGGCCGCTACATGCAGAAGCAGCTCGGCGAGGTGTACTCGCTGTACTCCCAGCTGGAGCAGAAGAAGGCGGCCATGGCCGGCTTCGAGAAGCGCAAGACCGTCGAGGCGTACCTCATGCTGGCGAGCGTCCACCAGGACACGGGTTTCTGCTCTAAGGCCATGGAGATCATGAAGTGAGTGTTGTATGGCGGCGATAAGGGCCGCATGCTTTACTTTGGACGGAATCCATTCAAAATGTCTACGTAATCCCTCCCTCGTGTTCTCGTATTGTCCCCTTGGAGAGCTGCACGCCCAAGCTCGAGGCTCGAGGCTCGTTCGGGAAGGGGGTTGTAAATAAAGGGGAGGGGGCACTACTTTCACCCCAGGCGGGGGTCACACAGTGGCGACGCTGTGGTCGGTAACCCCTTGGGTTAACCGCAACGTGCCCAGACGATTGCCGTTTATCGCAGGGCACAATCTTGTTCCTCGCTCAGAAAATCGATGGGCTGGGCTTTTAGCAGCAAGGCGAGGGCCTTGTGGCAGCCGGGCACGGGCAGGCCAGGCAGGGGAGAGACGGCGGCGCAGTGACGGCAGCCCGCGCCCCTCGCCACGCCACCGTCTGCCCCGCGCCTTCCTCCGCCCACCCCCGCCCCTGCACACAGCCTGGAAAAATTGCCTACACGAGCTGCAGTTTATTTGTCAGTTCTCTTCGAAGAGGTGGCCGAATGTGTATACAGGGGTTCACCGTAAGTTAATGTGACACGTCGGACAGAAGGACACGACAGTAGTTGTTCTACGGGGATAATAAGCCCGGGGTTGATTGACACTCAAGGTGACCCCGTCCCGTGCCTACAATCCCCACCTCCACCCTTTCCCCCACGACCGCGGGATCTGACAAGATGTATTTCGGAAGGTGGTGGTGACTGGCAGAGAGCGGCTCCCCGTCGTCGCTTTTGTACCCGTTCTCATTCCGGAAGTATAGAACCTAACCCTGGCGGTTTCTTTTTGCAGGGAGGCCGTGGAGGCGTTCCCCAGGTCGTCGTGGGTGCTGGTGGAGGCGGCCGAGATGGCCCGCGCGCTGCCCAAGCCGCAGCGCGACACCCGCAGCGCCCTCCGCTGGCTGCGGCGCGCCCTGGAGTGCCCCGGCGGCTCGTGCCCCTACGTCAGCTACCTGCTCGGCGTCCTGCTCCTCGAGCGAGGGGACAACATCGAGGCCCGGCCGCACATCGCGCGCGCCGCCCCCCAGATGGAGGAGGCCAAGGAGCTGCTCAACGTCCTCAACTCCATGGGGGCCAGGTCCGCCTCGCCCTGGCAGTTTGTGCGGAGCTCGAGCGCCTCTAGCAGGCTCTTGGACGGCATGCGATCGCTGGGCTTCAGTGTCTTCCGCGTCGATGGCGGGGCCACCATCCCTGGCCGCTCTGGACGGAAGAGGTTCTAAGACGGTCTCCCCCGTGTGCTCCCTCTCGCCCTTCATCCCCCTGACTTTGACTCGTGATGATGTGGTCGAGTGGTGCCAGCAGCAGCTTGCCATAGGCTTGAAGCCGATGATAGTGAGTGAAAAACGTTCAGTGCAACGGGGACTAAATTGATGAACCTTCTGGATCTGATGTTTTCTGTGTTTGTAGACACGATTTTGTTGGTGATGTAATTTTTAGAAACAGTACTATTCATATTTTGATGTGTGGACACGCTTTTGTTGGCGATTTAATTATTAGTAACAATATTATATTTTGATACGTAACTGTTCATTGTGATCTGACAATTTTACTTGTTTAAGTTGTTAGAATGTGTACCTTGTGGATGCACTTTCTTATCAAAGAAAGTACAAACTGTTATAGTAGAGAAATAAAACGATGGTTAACATTAATCCGATTTAGAATTACATTTTGTTTTTATTTCAAAGAAATACAATCACAGTCGTCCGATAATCAGTTTTAACCACTTAAAGGAGAAGTGTTTTTGCTATTCATTCTAACACTCAAGAACTTACAAACACGCACGTCACACACATACAAACACACACACACACACACACACACACTCACACACACATTCTGCTAGACGAGCAAAGAAGACTAGAGTTAATCCACAATAATTGGCATTGCCCCCCTCGGTTCGCGTGTTCGGGTCCGTCCCCATCCTCGCCGACGGGTGTGGCTCCGCACGGCGAGCACAGCGTTTTATCACGACAGGGCGTGTCCGAGATTGGCGAGGTGCCGCCGGGCGCCGCCACCGCGCGGCCCGAGGGCGCCACCGTCCGGGCGGTGGCTCCGTACGTATAGGGCGTAACTGCAGGCACCGGATGAGGCGGCTCAGAAGCGCCTGTTCCGGACGCGCCGCCTCGCCACGTACCTCCGGTGGGCGAGGATGCCGAGCAGGACGAGGCCGACGGCCGCCACGCCCAGGCAGCCCATGACGACCAGCGAGGCCGGGGACATCTTGAAGGTGACGGTGCCCGCCGACTGCAGGTCCATGAGCTCGCCGTCGCACAGCGCGCGCCCCGTGTGGTTGAACCAGTGGACGAGCCGGCGCCCGGAGACGGTCTCGGGGCTGGAGCACCTGGAAGGGGAGGAGGAGCGGGCGAGCGCGGTGAGTGGCGGTGAGCACCAGCACTGGTGAGCGCCTGCAGAGGTCAGGGTGGGCCGGCCAGCCGGGCGCAGCGGTACTGCGGGCCTGCCTACGTCTCGCGGCGCTCAGCGGCCAGCGGCAGTACGGCGGCATCGACCCCTCTGGCGTGTCGCGTGCGCGCCCCGGGCTACTTGATTGCGAGCCCCGCCCGGCCCCGCCCCGCATAACCTTTATGACCGAGTACATTAATGCAGAGACTCACCTCAGGTCCTCGAGCAGCGCGGGGCTGGAGCGGTAGATGTGCTGCATCGGTCCCTCCAGCAGCCACTGCAGCCGGCACGAGCACTTCCAGGGGTTGCCCTGCAGGTCCAGCGACGGCACGGCGCTCCAGTCGGTCGCCCTGGGGTCCAGCCACTCCAGCGCGTTGTGGCTCATGTCGAGCTGAAAAGATTGAGGGTGAAAATGTGTTGTGAAACAAGAAGAAAGTTTGGAGGGGAAAGATGTAAGTGCGTCAGGAGCCCGGACCTGGCAGAAGGTGATGTTGCGGAGGGCGTCCTCGTGCACCTCGCCGAGCATGGGGTTGTGGCTGAGCAGCAGGGCGAGGCACGGCGCCGTGGCGTTGGCGGGCGCCTCGGCCGCGTGCAGGTGCACGGCGCCGCGGGGCAGCGAGCGAAGCTGCGGCATGCCGCGCACGGAGAGCAGCGCGAGCGCCGGGGACGCGGCGATCCGCAGCTCCTCCAGGGGGTTGTCGTCGAGCCGCATGACGGCCAGCAGCGGCGAGAACGGCGTGGGCGCGCGCTCGAGGTGGTTGTGGGTCACGTCCAGGGAGCGCAGCGCGGGCAGCGCCACGGTCGGGAAGCGCGTCAGCGCGTTACTCGACACGTTGAGCTCGGCCAGCGCGTCCAGGTGCGCCAGGCTGCTCAGCACGGAGATGTCGTTGCCGGCGAGCTGCAGGCGGCGCAGCGCGGCCAGCCCGCCCCACGAGCGCACGTCCAGGCCGTGCAGGTTGCAGTGCGCCAGCGACAGAGATTCCAGGGTCGCGGGCAGCGTGGCGGCCGCCTCGGTCTGGCCCTCCAGCCCGCCCTCGGCGCGGCCCAGCGGGTTGTGCGACAGGTCCAGGGAGCGCAGCGCGGCCGGCAGCGCGGAGAGGGCGCCCGCGCTCTCGTGCAGGCTGACCAGGGACATCGACGATCAGAAGGTGTAAGCACACAACGTGAAGAGACGTGTCCGTCAGGGTCCGGGACCGCTCACCTGATCGCGTTCGAGGACAGGTCGAGCGTGTCGAGCGCGGCCAACTGGGTGAAGGAGGCCGTGGGCAGGCCCTGGCCCCGCAGCGCGTTGTGCGCCAGGACCAGCGTGCGCAGCCCCGCCAGCCCCGCGAGGCTCCCGGGCGCCAGGGCGGTCAGCGCGTTCCAGGACAGGTCCAGGCGCTCCAGAGAGCGCAGCTCCAGGAACGCGTCGGGCGTCAGCGAGCTCAGCTTGTTGTGGGACATGTCTAGGACCTGGAGAGTCGGAAAGAAGGGCCCGCTAGTGTAAGTGGTGTTAACGGAGGACAACTCACCAGATGTCTGCTGTGCAGCGAGTTGCCCACCTTGATGTTCGGCAGGCGGCGCCATGCGCCCGCGCTCACGCTCGTCAGCCCGTTATAGGACAGGTCCAGTTCCAGGATGCTTCCCGACCTGCGCATGAAATACACGATGTAAAACAACGACTTTAAACCATTTTACTAACCGACATTCACGTCTGCGAAGCCACGCTCGCGCTTACCAAGGCAGCGTGTCAGCGTTGAGCTCGCCGGCGATCTTGTTGTGTGCCAGAGAGACTTTGTTGAGCTTGCCCAGATCCTTAAAGAGGTCCGCGGACAGCGGGCGGCTGCTCAGGCTGTTTCCAGACAGGTTCAGCCGTTCCAGCGAGGCCAGGCCGAGGAACGCGTCGTGCGGGACATCTGCCAGTAAATCAACGACACGTCCTTTTAAACATGCTTCTTGCACCCGGCTGCGGCTCCGACGCGCCTAACCGCTACTGATGACGCCTGCAACGCGCTGGGTAGGCTGACCCGCCGCGCAGCTGTGTGGGGCCGGCGGCCCGCCCGCACCCTGTGACCCGAAACTCTCTCATCCAGGCCAGAGGTCGCGGACACTAAGCGAAGTTCAACTTCAATTAGGGTTAACACGAGTGCTTGTTTATAGCGAACTGGATCCACCCGTGACTCGGGTCACGACAGGCGCCAAACCCCAAAACACTCCCTTACGTTCCCTCACATCGCCTCGCCCTCTCCTCGGGCTCGGGCGGGACGATTACTGGAGAGGCATCTCACCTGCGATGACGTTGTTGCTGAGGTCGAGGTCGCGCAGGGTCTTGAGGTTAGCGAAGGCCCGCGGCGCGACGCTCCGCAGGCGGTTGTCGGCCAGGGAGAGCCTGGTGAGGTGAAAGGGCAGCTGCGGGAGGCGGGACACGCCGCTCAGGTCGCCGCCGCGGAACTCGGCCCAGGTCTCGGCGGCCACGGCCTCCCCGGCGGACAGCCGCGCGGGCCAGGACCAGCGGGGGAGCTCCTCGGCCAGCAGCCGCGAGGTGCAGTTGATGACCAGCACCTGGTGGGAAGGTGGGGGCGGGGATCAAACGGTGTGGTTGTCGTGATCGTGAGTCCTTCAGTTAGGAGCGGAAGCGTATACCTGGTTCACCGGCGGCACCAGCGGGGTAGTCTTGGCCTTGCTACCCGTCGTGGTCACAGTCAAACTGGGGCTCGTGGTGGTGTCCGGGACGTCATCTAGGTTCTCGTCGAGGGACACTCGCACCGTGGCGTTGGCGCTCTGGGCGGCTCTGCGCAGCGCGAAGCAGTCGCACCGCGCGCACAGCCTGCGCTGCTCCTGCAGCTTCTGCAGCCGCTGCTCGAGCAGCCCCTGCTGCTGCCTCTTGCGCTTCTCCTCCTCGAGCTCGAGCTGCCCTTTGTCCAGTACTATCCGTTGGAAACTGGCGTCATTGCTGGAGGGTGGGGCTGCGGGTGCCTCTCCAGACGAAGGCGTCCTCAGCGTCGTCTCGTCACGGGGCTGCTGCGGACTGCTCGACGTGATCGCCACAGTGGAGGCCGAGCTCGTGGTCGTGAGGTTGGTTGCGGCCGCCAGGACGCAGGCCCAGGACAGCAGCGCCACAACAGCCGCGCCCAGTAGGAGGGCCGATTTGGCGCGAGCCATCCTGCTGCAACAACGGGCGTGTCTGTCGAACGGAAATTAAATTTGAGTGAGGGGCTGCAGTGCCTAACTACTCAACCAACTCGACTGGCTAGCTGGCTGGGCTATCGCATACTGCACGGGAATGTAGCTGCAGGGCTGACTCACCTCCAGTGATACTGTTTCTACTAAGACATGGACGTGCGGTTTCGTAGAACGGGCAGGAATCAAGAGCCCTGTGTTGCTGCAAGGGGCGACGAAAGATCAAAACTTTATCCCGACGTCACTTCAACGACACCTTTCGACCCGCCGCGGTTGAGTCGCCGAACTAGCGATGATATGCGTCGCAATCGTGGTCATGCCGCTCCCGACCTCGTTCGTCAACCCTCTCCCAACTGCACCGTTCAGCACCCGTACTGTCACTCAGGTTGGCCGCTCGGCCGCCCTCCCCTGCCCTGCCTCGCTATAGCGCCCCGATAAGATAAGAGAGAACCAGCCTCCGATTCGGGCGCACCTGCCTTAGTCACTGACATGTGCGCGCGCCGTATGAAAAACTAAAAAAACAGAGAGGCGCCACGAGGCGGACGGTAGTTTACAGCCAGCTTCTCAAGCAACCATTGGCACAAAACTGGACCACAAAGCTGGTACAACGACAACAGCAGTCTTGTAGATCGCGGGGAAGTCCGCGGATGTTACATGGGGGAAAACAACGTTTGCTCATACCATGCTCATACTGAGCCCCGGTGGAGACCTATATCCGGACAGAACCGACCAGGCTATGCCACTTAGTTCCATTGACGATCAGAACCACCTGTTCAAGTAAATCAATTACTTCAAAAAAATAAAATTAAAAAAAATGAATGAATGAACTATTTGCAGATGCCTTATTGGCAGGGCAGACTGTGGTGCTGGTTTCCTGCATGGAAAATATCGCATCTGACTGAAGAAAGTCTGTGCCATTGTGATTAAACACTACAAAACGAAGTCACTCCGTGAGTAACTGCCCCCTTTATTCTCCACTGACCTTTTCTGACAATTAGCTGACCCCGCAACCCTGCAACCTTTATTTTCCGTAGTTGGCAGCCCTGACCTGCCCGCCGGTACACACTCGCGGCGCTGTGTTTTGATGCGGTCTATGGGTTATTTGTTGCTCTTCTTCATGAATGTCCCTGTTTTAAATTGTTTTTGATCGTCTTGGCGGTCTTTACCATATTTGAGACGAAAAATAATTGAATCGTAACATCGTTATCATGTCTGTCCCAGCGCCTAATCCAGAAGACTGTCCGGTACGAAATGACACCGAGGCCCCTCTCTCTCTCTCACTTTGTGTTATGTTTTTAGCTCAACTCACATTTATCCGAGTGAAGCTCTTGCTGTTATACTCGCAAATGCTGTACTGCTTTCATTCTATAGTAGCTTCATGCCCAATATGTCACGCCATTCTCTTACAACAATATTTGCTGAGTTCCCTCCTGTAATCCTAACCTCAACGTTTTAACTTCACATTATTGCTAATAGATAAATACTCATTGTCTCTTTCCTTAAAGCTCTTCTCCTATATTTTTCCCCCGAATATTGCAGAAATATATAAAATGTTTGTTATTGGTCAAGTACTGTCTTACAATGCTTACTTGTATGGTTGCAAGGAAAATGCGTTCACATTTGTTTCTCAACTTCGACTCATCACCACATGCACCCCTCTCTTCCTCTCAATGACCCAACGGATTACTTTTGTGGAAATTCCTCCACCATATTTTACTAAGGTTAGCACCAGAATTTCAGGAGGTCCATTTTGCCAAAGTATTTTTGCTTGCAGGCATTGCAATTCAAGATATTATGTCGCCTCCGAATTTTTACTGGCCAACCAGGGCTCTTTACAAACTCAACAAATTTGGTTGCTACTTCACCCCTGTACGGTCTTATTTTTGTTGGAACCCCAAGCGGCTTTCAAGGTAAAACAGATGCTTCCACCGTGTGGATTAAATATATCATGATGACAATAATTTTTCTCCCCTTGCATGAATTACTTAATTTTATTCTTGTATTGCAGTCTTACAGTCAAACATAATTGGTGGAATTCAGGTTCCAAAGGGTGAAGTATCTGAATTTCCGCGCCGAGAAATTCAGCTGGGCTGCACTCCTTCACATTTGAGTATTAGTTGTGATCAAACACAATTAGCTGTGGCATTTGTCAAAGATGAATGTCCATCAGCCATCATTTACAATGTGTCCTCTTTCTGTAGCAGGGTAATTGCTTTTTTAAAACTACATTATTGTTTTTGTCTTTTTTCATATTTTATTTTTTTTAATTATTCTGGTTGTGTTTGATCTCTAGAATGTTACTATTACAACAAGCATACGCCTTGCCTCCTCTCCAGGAAGCAAAGTTTTAGATCTTCATTTCAATCCGGGACTTCCCAACTTTCTTGCTGCTTGTACATCTGATGGGGGAGTTGGCGTATATGAACTAAAAGGGGGGTCTTTTGATGTAAGCACCTTACCTGCTGCTGTTCATGCTACGTAAGTAATTCTATGCTCCTTTACTATTTTTTCTTTGTGTCCTTGAATGAAACTTCTAGAAATACCTTTTCTGAAACTTTATAGCTGTTTGTGCTGGAGCCCTAAAGGGAAGCAACTAGTTATAGGGGATAGTAAAGGTTACATATCACAGTACAAGCCAGACTTGAAGATTGTCAAACAATATCCACCTCCTCAAGATAAACCTGCTTCTTCTATTGTAAACTTACTGTGGATATCAAATTATCAATTTGCTGGAGTGTATGCAGATACAGCTAATCCTTCAGAGAGACCTGGTTAGTGGTTTAATGTTTTAAGTGTTGTTGTTATTATTATTATTATTTCTATCATTATCATCATTATTATTGACTAACTATTAATTGTTAATAAACTATTATTGTTCTCAACAAAAAATTTCCTAATAGCTTTTTCTATGTTGCAGCTATTATGATAGTGAATGTCCCCAAAAATGGACCAACATCCTACGTTAATTTTGAAGATATTTGTTACAGTGCAGGGGAACTGAGATCTCCTCAGTTTTATATGGTTATTCAAGCTAAATGGTACTATTTTTTATTTCATTCCCTAATATGAAACTATATTTGCTTGCTTTGGAATTTCTTCAATATTTTTTAACTGTGGTATTTGTGTTGTAAGAAACTGCAAATAAATTGTAATCATTTTCAGGAATTTGATGATGGTTGCATCAGCAAACAGTATGGAGGTTGGGGTTTTAGCAATGGGACAGGACCAAGTGTCATGGGTGCAGTGGACACAGGAAGATGCAGCAAGAGCTGAGCTCCCTCTCACACCATTAAAGCAAGAGACATACCCGGTTGGTTTAGCTCTTGACACAAGCTCTACTCAACAACTGCGATGGGGTGAATTGGATTTTTTTCAGTTTGTGTAGCTTTTACAGTATCCAAAGAATTGTGTTCTTAAATTTTATTTTTTAATGTCTTTAGGCGAAGGCAGTCTTCATCCAATGCCAATGCTTCACATTTTGTCACATGATGGAGTCTTATGTATATTCCATGTGATCAACATTCTTCCTCAGGCTGTTTGTGTTTGTGAACCTCCAAGACCACTTCCTGACATGAGTGGACTTGACCAATTTGTGGTAGGACCACCATCCCAGCCATCACAACCTGTGCAGCAGACACAACAGCAACCACCACCACTGCAAGCTTCTCAGCCACAGCCTGCTGCACAAATATCTAGTCAACAGGCTAATTATTTCCAACCTACTCAACAAACAACTGCACCTCAGTCATCTGGATATTTTCAACCAGCTTCTGTGCAAACTAGCCAATCCTCCCATCAGGTAACCTGCTTTACTCATAGTTTCCTAGATACCTCTGCAGCTCTCATTACGTCAAACTAACTTTCATCTCTAATTTTAGGCAAATCCACTTGCTCAACTAGCATCATTTAGTAGCCAGTAAGTGATCAGTATTCCACTTGGAATTGTGAACAACATTTGTCCAGTATGTTTACATTTCAAGATGTCATTGGTTTACTTTAGCTTAATATTCTTAATATTTTAGGTTCCAACAGGTACCTCAAGCCAAAGCCGGTGGATATGGTGGAATGTCACTCGGTGGACTTGGAATGAATAGCTCTCAAACTCAATCAACATTTTCCTTGACAAGTTCTGCAGCAGCACCCAACCCTAGCTCTACCTCTAGCTTTTCTCAAGCACCTGCAACAGGTGCTGCAATAGGTAATATTAATAAATTACCTTTAAATTATCTTTGTGAACTTCAAAAGCTCTCTCTAAAAATATTATTTGTTACTCCAGCTCCAAAGACATCTTCAAGCTCCTTTATTTCAAGCTCATCCCAATCATCTCAACCATCAACACCAGTTCCATCTTATTCCACATCCCAACCAATTACTCCTCAACCAGCTGCTCTCCCTGAAGTCACACCGCGTCCTTCAATAGTTGTCCCTGTGCCAACAGTCCAAAATATTGCAACATCTACTGCACCCCGCCCTCAAGAAAGCAAACCCGCTGCAGGTATGTAACAACTTGAGTATGATTTCTTTCCAGGATTCATTTTGCTTTTTGCGCGACTATATTAAGGGTACCTTACAGCTGAAGTTCCTGAAGAGAAGACAGAAACGGTTGACCCAGCTATGTACGTTGAGCATATTCAAGAAGAAATAAGAGTGTTTGATAATGAACTGGGCAAGCTTAAAAGCCTAGTCAATCAGAGTTTACCTCCAATAGGCACAGATGAAGAGAAGAAAAAACTTTTGAGAATGTCAGAAGATTTAGATAGCTTCATCAAAGAACTAAGTAAAAGTGTTGATGATCTGAAACATGATAGCCATGATGTGAAGTCTATTGGAATGGAAGCTTCATTGTGGGTGGAAGATGCGAAGTCTCGCCTTCGACAATTTAATAAGCCTAGGTTGGTTGTGTATAGTATACTTGATTATTTTTTAGTTATTTTAAACAGACCCAAAATGAAAGTAACATCCTGATTTTTACTTTTTTATTGGTTTAGCTACTTACAGCTTGTTAAGTCCCAGGAGTTGGATCCTGTCAGTGCAAGAGCCTTGTTTAATATCAAGCAGAAATTTGACTATGTTGAAATTCAACTTGCTAATATAAACCAACAGCTAACTGCTGAATGGAGCAAGTTTCAGGAAGTTAGATCTCCAAGGTATTTAATGATATTTATTTGGAACCAATTTTGACTGCTTGCTACTTTAGTTATTTTAACTGTATAAATTTTTAAATATGTGCTCAATTTCAGAAACAGATTATATGTGCCCACTATGGATGAAATTTACCAAACAATGGTGAAACAGAAAAACATTATGCATAGGTTGAAAATAATCTTAGATGATGTTTCACAAAGAATAGCAGCTCGCAAAATTAAAAGTTCTAATCGACTTCATTTGATCAATGATTCTGCACTGTCTAAAAAAACAACTTCAAGACGTCTCCAGCTGAATGACAATGACACCAGTTTCAAATCGTAAGTTATCCATTTTTTTTTTTTTGTGCCATGTCATATACTGTATCTACCAAGTTTAATTGTGAAGTTAGCAGTTGTCTGTTTATTGATAATAATACATATCTCTGTGCAGAGATACTGATCTTTTTAGTTTGGCTGAAAATTTATTGGAGTCTCAACTCAAGAAACAGCAGTCAGATGACTCAGATTTAGAGTCCTTAGCATCTAGAGCATTGAATCTTAATATGAACAAACTACCACCTGCTTTGTGCTCTCAAAAGTCACTAAGCGCTAAAAAGGAAGATAAACTTCGCGAACTACTCCTTCAGATTCCAATGACACGTATAAAAGCAGACCGCACTCCTTCTGAAATGGGATCATTAGGGTAAGCAAGTTTTCTGCAATTGATTTTTTGCAATTGAATTCCTCTACAACTTTTGCTTTGATCTGTAAATTTTTTCTTTTCTTTTTCAGAAACAGGCCCTGTGTCAAATTTTCATCCTCAGTTTTGTCTTTATCTCCAAGAAAACCGATAGCAAAGACTGATAAATTGCCAACAAGCCCTGCTGCACCACCGGTAGCCTCAGCAGCAGCAGCAACAACTACAGGAGCAACAGCATCAACCAAAATAGCGTCATCATCGACTTTTGCTTCTTTCTCAAGCAACACTGTTGCACCACCTGCAACATCATTTTCAGCACCTGGAATTGGTCTGTTTTCTCAGGGTTCTAAGGCCACTACCTCTGTTGCAGTACCTAGTTCTGGGCCTCCCTCCAAACCATTCAGTGCCTTTAGCCCTACTCCCTCGAGCTTCAGTTCTGCTCCCCTCTTTGGCGCTCAGACCAAAGCCACTACTGCCACAAACGAGTCCAAGGGTGTGACCACTTCCTCTAGCACAAAATCAAGTACTACTACACCAGCTCAATCTTCCACCAGTGCAGCAGTCATAGGCTCAGGACAGCTATCATCTGGGTTTAAGTTTTCAGTTCCTGCCAGTGCCGCAGAAACTCAAAGCAAAGATGCTGCAAAGGACCTATCCAAGCCCTCATCCACTGTTGCAAGCAAACCAGTAATCTCATTTGGGCAAGCAGCAAGTGGTGCGTTTTCGTTTGGGGCCCCATCCACGCCCAAAGCAGCCGCTACGCCACCTGCTCCGGCTCCAGCACCTGCTCCAGCTTCTGCTCCAGCTCCTGCTCCTGCTCAAGCTCCAGCCCCAGCTCCTGCTCCCAAGAGTAGTGACTCTCTCTCTGCTCTCAGCGCCATGGTGAGCAACGCAGGCGCAGGGGTCACTCCACCCCCTAAAGTGTTGGCCGAAGTGAGGCCGACAGCTGCGTCAGCCTTCTCATTCAGCACTATGGCGAAGCCGATTGCTACCCTCTCATCTCAACCATCTTCCGTCCCGGGCTCACCCAGACCACCAGCGCCCAGCTCACCCGTGATCGTCATTGGCGGCTCTTCGTCACCCAAACCAGGATTGCTGCCCACACCGAGCGTCACTTCGCTGCAGAGCCTGCTCGGCAGCTCCGTGACCATTACCCCGGTCGCCGCCGGCAGCACTGCCCCAGCTCCTGCTGCGGCCCCCGAGCCCGCCGCCACCCCCGCCAGCAGTGCCGCCCCAACAGCGGACAGCACCACGGCATCGACGACCTCCTTCTTCGGCGGCATGGGCATCGGAGGGGCGCCGGTGGCCACCAACAAGCCTGCCTCGAGCATCTTTGGCGGCGCTGGCACCAGCTTCCAGGCTGGCAAGATTACATCTCTGTTCGGATCCCCGTCCGCCTCCAGCGCCTCAACCACTACTGGTGCCTCTCTGTTTGGATCGGCGTCGTCCCCGGCGACCTCCACCACGCCCCCAACCACGGCGGCGACGTTCGGGTTCGGGTCCTTGTCGACGTCGTTAACCTCTGCTGCCGCCTCCCCACCGGCGCCTCAGGCCACGAGCTCCCCCGTGACCAGTCCCCCTGCTCTGACGACCGCCACCTCCGCGCCCGCGGTTCCGGCGCCGGCGACCGCTGCCGCCGCCACTACCACCACGACGATCTCGTCAAGCACCCCAGCCGCACCAGCCTTCGGCGGCGCGCCCGTGTTCGGGCAGACCTCCCTCTTCGGCACGGCGGCGGCCACCACCTCCACTTCGACCCCGGCTGCCGTGACAGCCTCCGCCGCCGCAGCGACCACCACCACGGCCTCGCTGTTCGGGGGCGCGACTCCCGCGAGCTCCACGACGTCTCTCTTCGGAGGCGCCGCGGCCGCTGCGGCCGCCGCCGTGAGCTCGGCCGCGAGCGTCGCCGCTTCCTCCGTGTTCGGCGGCGCGGCCACCACCACCACCTCCCTCTTTGGAGGCGCCCCCGCGGTCAGCAGCTCGGCGACCTCGCTGTTCGGCGGGGCGGCCACCACCACGGCCTCGCTCTTTGGGGGCGCCCCGGCCGTCAGCTCCGCTGCCAGCGGCACGGCGGCCAGCACGGGGTCCGGCTTCTCCTTCGCCCTGCCCTCCATCTCGGCCACCACGACGGCCGCATCCACTGCGGCCACGTCGACCACCCCGAAGCCCTTCAGCTTCGCCATGTCTGGGGCCACCACGGCGGCCGGCTCCTTGTTCGGCGGCGGCGCGGCGGCGGGCGGCTCGGTGTTCGGCCAGGCTGCGACCACGGCCACGACCCAGGCCTCCTTCTTCGGGCAGCCCATATGCAGCCCCACGTCTACAGCCTCCTCCACGCCGGCAGCGGGCAGCTTATTCGGCGGCGGAGGCGCAACTGTGTCAAGCTCGGCCTTTGGCACCTCCAGCACTGCCACCCAGCCTCTCTTCGGCCAAAGTGCAACACCTTCTGCCTTCGGGGCCAAACCCAGTTTTGGTCAGTCTGGAGGCTCATTGTTTGGCCAGAGCGGGTACGTGTTCAAGTTTTTTTTTTTTTTTTTCCTTTCTCAAACATGATCTGAAATTGAAATTAAATGTGAGAATATATGTTTTTCACCCTTCACTTAATTTTGCAGCACTTCAGCATTTGGCTCATCATCAGGATCCGTCTTTGGTGGCGGTTCTTCTACTGGGGGCAGCATATTTGGGGGTGGTACTGCTGCTTCACCACCCAGTGGTAATTTGTTTGGACAAGCCGGTAAATTTTCATATCTACCGAATCTTGTATGCATGCTATTTGGCACACCTTTAAGACGAATGCTCTAACTAGTACGTCTATCTGCTTCCAGCTGCCAGCTCAGGAGGCTTGTTTGGCCAGGCAGCCGCCTCCCCCAGCAGTGGTGCATTCTCTGGTGGTGCGGGTGGAACAGTAGAGCAGACTGGATTTGGATCCCCTTCTTTCCAGAGTCGGCCAACTGGTACAGTTTGACTTTTTAATCAAATCAAGTCTTTTTACTTGTTTCTTGCAGTTAAAATGGAACTCTTGTGAACTAATACAATGATTTTGAACAGCAGGAGGATTTGGCTCATTTAGCTCACCTTCAACAGGTGGTTTTGGGTCTGCTCCTGCCTTTGGCTCTCCTCCAGCATTTGGATCGGCACCATCATTTGGTGGAGCACCAGCATTTGGCAGTCCTACCAGAGTCTTTGGTGGCCCTACTCCAGCTCCAGGTACTTCATAATTTCTTCTGTAAAGTTGTCACTCCAATCGTACATCAATATAAAATGCTTTTGATCATTTTGTTTCCGTAGGATTTGGATCAGCATCTCCCACTCAATCAAGTTCAACTTTTGAAGCCCTAGCCACTCAGGATTCTGGTCCAACTTTTGGTAACTTAGCTCAAGCTCCGACTGCCCAACCCACTAACCTGTTTGGTAGCCCTACGCCATCAGCTTCATTTAGTAACACAGGCTCATCCTTTGGGTAAGCTATCTTTTTTTTGTGTGCTTACTGCTGTGCTGCTTTAACAAGTTCAAATTCCTTATGTCTTTTCTGTTTTATTTGCAGAGGAAGCTCTTTCTCAAGTTGGCGATAGACTTAAAGATAAGGTTTAGTCATAATTATTTATAAATTTTACAAAGCCCTGTGTATGAAATTAGTTAGGGTAAAGTAATTTACTGCCATGTCTAGAATCATTACTTAATTAATAAACTGATGTTACAAATTTTACCTCGAACCGTTTCTCATTTTTGCGTCCTATTTTTAATGTGTACAATCTATGTGGTGGTGGCCTTCAGCGCTGCTCCGGTTAGCCGCGGCGGTCGCCGACCACCCGCCCGGCTCCGAAGTGCCCTCCGTGTCGATGTTTTAGTTCTGCCCTCCTCGGAGCCCCCGCCCCGGAACGGAAGGGGGGAAGACCAAGTGGGGGGTGGGGGGCAGGGGGTGCAAGCTTTGCCATAGCGATGCCGCACACTCGGAGAGAGAGAAAAGCAGCGGGGCTTGGCCTAACCCGAGGGGCAGCGACTGCCCACACCTGGCTGCATTTGTAACGAAGCCCCGCTGCCGTGCCCGCCGTGCCCCGAGTGCCGCCCGGGTCAGTACCGCTCGCCACCGCCCGGCCCGACGACGGTGTGGACACGACGCCCCCGCCCCGCGTGCCTCCGCTTCCCATACCCCGATTTCGCAAGACCTCATCAGTCGGCTTGGCCCGACCGTGTGTCGACAACCTTCGTACCCCCGTGCCCGTAGTAGCCACCCCTCCGAGCACCACGTGACCACCATGAACGCGTACACGCGCGAGGAAGTGGCCAAACACAACCGCATGGGCGACATCTGGTTCATCATCCACAAGTACGTGTACAACGTGACGGAGTTCATCTACGAGGTGAGGAAGGGGACGCCATAGTGACGCGTTGACGGGGAAGCTCCGGCAGGGTGTTTGTCGTCATCCACTATACACGGTTGTTCTCGCGGGCTTATTGCAGCATCCCGGCGGCCAGGAGGCGCACCTGCGCGTCGCGGGCAAAGACGCGTCCGAATGCTTCGACGAGGTCGGCCACTCGGACGAGGCGGAGATCCTCATGAAGAGGTTCCGGATCGGCGTCGTCAAGGAAGGCGGCTCTCCTCCCAGCCAGGTACGAAGGTTTCCTTCCAATCTCGCGCGGGGGAAGTCCTCGCCATCTCTCGGTTCGGTTACTTCCCCCCTCCTCCTGGTCCTTAATTGGCCCTCGAGATTTTCCGCTCTCTTACGGGCGGCTGGCGCCCAACCCCGACAACGCGCTGCAGCCGACGATTCCACTTTGGACTCTGTTTGCGATTGTTCTCGAAGCGGGGCAAAAAGACGTCGCGGCGGCGGGACAAGCAGTAGAGTGTCGACTGCACACGCGCCTGCGTCATCCTGCACGTCGTAGAGAACAAAACAGGTGGGGCTCGCCGACCAGGCCGGCGGGCCGGCGCCGCCGCCGAGGCTCGAGTCGCCGCGCGATGGGTGTGATTGAAAAACGGATAGCTCGTCTTGGCCGCCGGGGCGGTTGCCTACCTCCCGTCCTGTGACATCACACTTGACCCACACGTGGCTGCGGCATGGGGGCGTGCGGTGCGGCGGAGGGGACGCGAGCACCGAGCACCGCGCTTCTCTCCTCAGCGCCATGACCACTGTTGGGCCCTCGCATCCCCACCCCACTCCCCTCACGAGTACTTTCGAGTCCTTTGCCCTCAAACGTCGTCACAGTGCGCCTCTCTCTCTCTCTCTCTCTCTTGCACCCGCGTCGTCTCTCCCGACCCGTCTCCTTTCACGACGACGACGTCTCTCCCACTACCCGTTGTTTCCCTCTCTCTCTCTCCCCCACCATTTGACATGACTTGCAAAGTTGGGCCGACACTTTAGTGTTGGCCGCGCTGTCCCTGCCTGTCCCAGTACCCTCGACAGTCCCGGGCTCGATCTGCCGCAGCCACTTGTACTTGCGCGCCGTGTCCCCCAGCAGTCCCTCGCGTGGCCACGTAGAGCAGAGTCCGGCGGTTCCGCTGTTGGTGTGCGTGCGTGTGTGTGTTGTGTGTGGTAGTGCGTCTCGCTCCTGCTTCCCAAGTGGTTTTGTGTGCGTCCGTCGCAACAAACATCATGGCAACCAAGTTGTATTCCATGGCCGAGGTGGCCCAGCACAACGACAACAAGAAGTCGTGGATCGTTGTCCACAACGGAGTGTACGATGTGACCGAGTTCCTCAACGAAGTGAGTTTTCCCCTGGGTTGTTCCCTGTGTCTTGGGCCGTAGAGGGCGCCCCGTAACCTCACCTCTGGATGGGACTGAGAGCTGACGTAGGCACCTTTCTCCATGACTCGCCGAGCGCACTGCTAGGTCGATAAGCAATGGGAAAACAGAAAATGCGTAGATTTTGAATGTCATACTGAGAACGTATTTTGTTTGCTCTTTTATGACGAGATCTGGAAAGCCTATTGTGTAATCGCCAGCCACATCACCCCCACCCACTCACTTCCTTAGCAGAGGCTACTTGAAACATTTGTGAAAATCTTCGTAGGAAATTTTGTCAGCTAAAGTGTTGTAATATTGAAACAGGAATAAATTCTGAAACTGTTCATCTATTTATATTGGGACCTTTATTTGCTCTGGTAAAGTAGTCTATTCAGTGCAATTACAAATCCAGCGTAGGTCAGCAACAGGACCAACTTTAACTTGTTATATTACAAAATTTTGCTAAATCTACATTCAGTTTTAATTTTTCTGGAAGTTTATAGTAATAATGCATTTTACTCAAATATTTCACACTCTTAAAATATCAGTCGATGTATATTTCTATTACTTGTTGCTCATCTACTCCAGATTTGCTGTTAATTTTTACATGTGAAGCGTCTAAACCAAGAAATCAGTATTTAATTAGAATTTCAACCTGAAATTAGTGCTGTTCTATTTAATTGGTTTTTAATAGTCTGCTTTTGCATTCGTTTCAGCATCCTGGTGGCGAAGAAGTCCTTCTTGAGCAGGCAGGCAAAGATGCTACAGAGCCATTCGAAGATGTTGGCCACTCCTCTGACGCACGAGAGCTTATGGCAAAGTACAAAGTTGGAGAGCTTATTGAGGTGAGTTTGATTGAAAATCAATCATTTAATGCATTATCAGTATTTTTATTTTCTTATATTTAACTCACTAAATACAAAACATTTTTTGTTGTAGTCTGAGAGGAAAAAGATCAAGGAGCCTGCTGCCAAAGACTGGAGTGCGGACAACAATTCTGAAGACTCAAGGTAGTTATCCTTCATTCTACAGACGTCACAAATACCTGAAAAAATCTTTTCATTGTGTATATTAATTTGGATTTATTTCTGTTGCAGCTCATGGAAGTCATGGTTGATCCCTGTTACTTTGGGTATCTTGGCTACAATTGTTTACCGATTCTTAACAGCCCAATGAAGAGTCTTATCACCAATAATTTAGCTTACTGAGACAAAGGGTCTGGTGCCATCAGCCTAATCTATCAGTTCAAAGAATACCGCAAACATGTCAACTCGACCAGCCTGTTTTGCTTCTAACATATTTGACCAACTCTTCCTGCCTTTGATATTGCTCCTTGAGGAGCTGTGATAGTAATATACGTTCTTTCATATTTGTTTACTTGTGAGTATGTATAGATGTGGTTGGTTGTGAACTTTGCTATTGTCATGTTGGTCGGTTCTGTCTGTGGTAATGAAACTGGCCATTTTCCAAGAACCAAGATGATACCGTGTGTGACTTCTAATGTACCTGCTAGGGGAATTACTCCAAAAAGAATAAATTTCCATACTGCATTTTTTCCCAATTCTCTACGGAAAAGTTTAGGACTCAAATAGGTACTTGCAAGTGTTCTATTATCTGCTCATTCAAGTCAAGAGAAGACAGACATTCCACATTTGCTTACCTCAGCAATTAAGAAGTTTAGCAGAACAATTTTTCCTCTCTTAAAATATTCTGTATATTGAAGTTGTCCTGTATATAGTAGAAGTGCATCATGAAGCAGCAAAGTTGCCTTGATCATTTTCAATATTGACTTAAAGAGAATTAATGTACCTGGTTGTCTGACCATTTACTTTTAGTCCTCATTTATTTGATGAGGATGATTTTTTTGTCATTGTCATTCATGGAGTAGGAGGCTACATTTTTACATCTGTTTTAAATGTTTTTGTTTTATTTTAAATGAAATATGTTCAAAGTTGCTATGATTCATTTTCTTCATCCTGCAATATGTGTAATGTTAAAAATAAATTGTGTATTACATGTTATAACTTTGTTCTACTTTGTTTCTACTCCTTTACTACTTACTGTTTTTCAGTTTCTGAATTTTGGTAGCCTTTTCGAGGGATTCAGGAGTATAAACCGCACATGGCTCTGACCATCTGTGTGTTACAAGTATGCAGTTCATTATGAACGCTAAACATGCCAATGACACATTAGCTACGGATTCACGTGCTCGACTACCGCAAGGACCACTGCCCCTAGCTCTGTCAGTTTTGTTTTTTCCATGGGAGTGCCGTCATTGTCTTGGAGCAGGGAGAGGAGAGGGGTCGACAACAGCGTGTAATTGGTTGGGCCTTGTTCGCGTGATTGTGACCCGAGGTTGCCTCCCCCATGTCTTTGAGGGTTAACGGGTGGTGGGGGACGAAGACGAGATCGACATTTCACCGGTGAAAAGTGAAAGAGACGTATTGGACCTAGGCCTTTTTCACTTTTCACCCGTGATTTTTCGAACGTGGCCCTCAAGTTGCCTCTAAGCCGAGCAGTCAGACGGCCCCTCTCGATTCGGGTTGCCTCCGAAGCTCTTTCGAAGCCTGATAACGTCAGGCCACGCCGTCCCCGTTCGGACGAACGCCGCCGCGTCCGCGGTCAAGGTCGTCCGGGGAATGACTATACTCGCGACCGCCCGGTTGCGGTGGATCGGGGAGCGGCTCGGCATAATGCCGTCGGGTAAGTATAGAACACTCATCTCCACCGAGACGCCGCCGAGTGTCCCGACGAGAAACTTGGTCGTGCTGGAAGCTCGTGGGGGCAGTCACGCCGTGTCGTCGCGGCGCCAAGTGCCGGGGCCGGGGGTGCACTCGCGGTACTCGCGGCGAAGAGCGTCCCGCCTCGCCACGTCCCCCGCCACTCGCTCGATAAGATAACATCGAGCCTCGCCGCCTGCCGCGCGTCTGCCTGCGCCTCTCTGGCTGCTCTCCATCTCGCCCGCCTCATCTCTGAACGGCGGAACCGTCCGAGTCCGAGACACGGACGGAAAGTTGTCGAAGGGCAGCGCAGCAGCAGCGACAGCAAGCTTTCCAGTCGCTCGCTTCTGAAAAATCTCCTCCTCTACCCCGTGACGTGGAGTCGAGCGCGTGAGCGAGCCGACG